ATGTATGGTAATAAGCATTGCAGCAGTGGCTTCCCTCGTCCTGTTTTAGACATCTCTTTCATTCTTTATTCATATATCTGTGTGTGAGATAACTGCTGCACAGTGCACTGTTCTGCGTCTTTGATTTGGATAAACTATCAGATTACGGAAGGAAATAAATGAAAATTGTGCCTCTAATTGATGTGTGTGGTTTTGTTGCTGATATTGCACGGTGATTTTTAGATAATCCTTTCTGCATCTGTGTGCATGAGTGTTTGGTGTATGTATCTCTGCACTGTTGGGTGGATCCCACTTCTTTCTCTGTTCTGTGGTGCTTTCAGAGAGACGGAGCGAGAGAGAGAAGAGAAGCAGATTCTTTTCACAGCTAAGAGTCTAACTCCAAAACATCAAAGACAGAGAGAGGGAGAGAGAGAAAGAGGAGAGACCGATGTAAGGAGGGAGGGGTATGCCTTGTATCCGGGTAATGATGGAGGAGAGAGAGAAGGAGGGATGGAGAGAGACGGAGAGGTAAGGGAGGGAGGGGGGGCGAGGGAGAGCAGCCAGCCAACCAGTAGAAGGAGAGAGAGGAGCGAGAGGGAGCGGGGGGCACTGTGAACAAGCTGAGAGGAGGGAGGGAGGAGGGGAGGATAGTGAGCGAGGCATGGGGAGATTGCCGGACCAAAGAGAGAGAAGTGTTACTACAGAGCTGCTGCCGCTGCTGGAGGACGAGCTGGGAGCCGAGGATAATGCTCCATACCTCCGCGTACAGCGGCACGCCGGACACCTTGTAATTTCTTGTTCTGGTGGCGGTTGTGGAGGAGGAGGAGGAGGGTCTTTATTGTTGCAGCAGTGATTGTCTTTTCTTTTTTTTCTTTCCTTTTCACTACATCCTCCTGCTCACCCCTACTCACTCCTTATTCCTCTGCAACTGGCAACCGCTGGGCTCCCCCTACCCCTCCTTCCTCTCTTTTCTACTTCTGTCCCCTTTTTTCCAGAGGAGGGATTTCTGTAATTCATCAGGGATTGTAGAAGACAGTAAGAATGTTTTCTGGCTTTTTCTGCTTTTCCTTTTTTTTCTTCTTGACATGCATGGAAATGGAGTAGGGTGCATGCCAGAGCAAAAGAGAGAGTATGATTTTATTTTTGAGGAGAGATGGTGGTGGAGTCTGTAGGATGTGTGTGTGTGTGTGTGTGTGTAGCAGGAGGTGGGAGGCAGGGAGGAGGTTTGCATGTTCAAGTTTACTGCATTGATGTGAAACATTAATTTCTGTGCCACATGGCAGTCTGTGCATGCAGAGTCCCAGCTTTTAAAGGAAAATATGCAGCAGTTGCAGGAAACCTAGAGGATCTGCTGAGGGATGCACAGACACAGGGGAAGGCAAACAGAGCAGTATTTGACAGCGCTATAGCCAGTTTAGTCTTTCACAGCTTTATAGAGAAAGAAAAGAAAAGAGGGCAAAAAGTGTGGGGACGAACAGAAAAAAAGAAGAAGAAAGCAGAACTGGAGGAGCAAACATTTGTTGAGGAGGGAAGAATAAGAAAAGACAAGCTGGGGAATGAGTAAATGTATGTGCAGCTGCTCCAAAAAAGGCAAAAATATGAGCTAT